ACCTGATCAGGTCTTATGAGAATGGATGGTATAGACCTGTCTCTTATACACATCTATGTGTATAAGAGACAGCGCTACCACATGGCACTTCCCGAACCCCCAACCCCTCTCCCCACTGGCCGCCATGCGGCCGCGCGGACACGTCCACGGGGTTGCGGCCTAGGCCGCGGCCGTGGACTTGTCCGCGGATGGGCGCCGCTGAGGGGGAGTCGTAGATGACCAGATCGATGTGCGGAGTGTGGCTGCGTCCCCAACGCCACAGGCTGGCCATGTAGTCGTAGGCACTTCCGTCCTCCTCCTTTCTTCCCACTGAGGCACAATCCCGAGTATCTCGCTCAACCATGCATGCTATAAATTTCGCAAGTGCGATTAACTCGCTCTCTATGAATTTTGGAGTTGAAGTGGTCGAGAGGATCGGCTAACGAGCAAGTGTTGGAAGGTGAGTAGAGAGTTGGGCGATCCGACGGGCTGGTGCTGGGTATGGGGGGTTGACGTGGGCCCGCTGTCGGCGTGAATACCCTTACAAGGATCGGTTAACCTGGATTTTTAGTGCCCATGCGGAAAATGCGAGGGTCGTCCGCACGCAGGCAGAGGTCTGCCCTGTCCCGGTAGGGGGTACGTGGACGCACAATTTTAAGGCGCGCGTGTGATTTTTCTGATTGAGTGGGCGGTCGGGGTAGCCGACCGACCCGGACCGGGTGACGGGTTTGGTTAGGGGGTGAAAGCTTGCTTTGATTGGCACGCACGACCAGTGGTGGCTCGCAGGCCGGCGCGCGGGATGGCCATGCCACAGGATGGTAGGCCGGCGTGGGCACCTGGGGGCCGTGTGGGCAAGTGTGGGCTGAAAGAGTGGCCGGGGTGGTATCCTGGCCCGAAGCGCCATGCGATACCACTTCATGTGGGAGACTGCGCCTGCTGGTACCAGGCTTGGGCATAGCCTTATAGGTTACGATAATGGACAGTTACTACGGAGGTTCGGGGATCGAGGCCAGCGGACGACGGCGGCGGAGCGGCGAGAGGCTGAGGGGTCGAGGGTCCTGCGGGTTCATTCCCTTTAGTTTTGTCGAGGGAATTCGATCGCGGGCCCGTACCGCAAGACCGAGGGAGTCCCGGTAGTTCCTCCCCTTTCCGACCCTGATTTAAAGGCCTCTATTTTTCTTCTCCTAGTCTAGCTCTTACCTTTAGGATCTGCTCCCGCCTCGAAAACCCCCGGCATTAGTGCTTGGGCCCCCATGACCTTTGCAGAAGGCCAGGCTATGGAGCCCCTATGGATTTGGGAGGGGGGGGGAGGGCTTTTGGCCTGGGTCGTGCGCTTCCAGTACCACCTGCCGCTGTGGCTGGTGGAATCGCCGTGGGGTTTCCCCTGTCAGGGCGCTGTGTAACAGGTGGTGCGCTTAAGGGAAGGGGGCCGGTGAAGTCGCGGTGTAGGGCTGGTGTGGGAAGGACCGGGGATGAGCCCGGATGGGAAACGGGGCGGGGGCATGTAAGAAGGGGATCGAGAAGGACTCGACTAACCTCTGGGGCACGATGGGGCGTCGGCACGTGCAAGCCCTACGAGGGGCCGATAACTTTGGTACAGTATCGGGGGTGGGGTTTCGCGGCGATGGCCGTGGAGGAATGGTGTAGACGGACAGATCTGGGGCCGCACCTTGTCGCGAAGCGAGCCAAGGTGCGCAAGCCCTTCATAATTTCGGAAAAGATTGGATCGATGCTGAGAAGATTTGCCTGGCCGCTGCGCGAGGGTGACGCGCGCAGATCCGGGAATGAACTCGGGCGCGGGCCAGACCCCTTGCATGCGAAGGAGGGTAGGAAAAGAGCAGGGGCCAGGTGGCCATCGAAAGTGTCGTTGGGCATTGCCCCGGCCTGAGTCCGTGGGGACATCTGGAAAATTGGAATGAAGCAGGGAAGACCTGCCTGGCCCCCGTGCAAAGCTGGCTCGTACAGACTCCGGGATGCGGGCTAGGTTCAGGTACTAAGGTGAGGCAGCATTGTGGCATCACCGGTTCTGAGGGGGCGTGGGGAATCGCCCGGCCGAGTCCGCTCAGGCGGCTGCTAAAGTTGGGACGGCGCGAGGGAGTTTGGGCTGGCCTTGGTGGGGAGCGGCCGCGTATAAAAGAAAGAGCAAGTCTTCATTCCTTGTTTTGTTGCTGCATCGATCTTCGCGACGATCTGGCTGATCGTGTTACTCGGTTACAACGCGCCGGCTTTAGGGGAAGTCAACACGGAGGGAGTGAACGGACCTAGCCGGGGGGTTGGCACACGGGGATCGTCAAGTAGGGATAATGGGGTCGCTGTGATAGCGTGGACGGCGCTAGCATAGCGGACAACACAGCGGCAGGGCGAAAGGCGCGGGGGGGGGGAGGAGACAACGAAGATTCCGGAGGGGAAGGGGAACCAAGACGCGGGTGCGGGCCGGCTACATTCGGAGGGAAGGACAAGTTAATTTCGTCCGTTTCTTGGCAAGAACGAACGAACAAAGACTCCAACTTGGGGTTTTGAGGTCGGGCGACACCGATTTCGGGGTTGGTTGTAGCTAGGTGCTAATAGGCTGGAAACTACTTCGGAGAGATGTGCGCGGAGCCCGCCCATTCCTTGGTGAAAATGGGCGGGTAGAGGTGCGAGGTCGGGCTTCTTATTGTTGCGAGTGCAGCGACGGAGTTGAATCAAGTAAATGAGCCGTGGTTCAGATGTGGCGTGAGTTATGAGCTGCGTGTGAGGAGGAGCGACCTCGGAAAGTGTGCACCTGGTCAGACTGCTGCGGAGCGTTCATCCCGTTCTGCCCGACCAGTGACGAGGGTAGCGTGGGGTTTGTTGGGAGGAGCGGGGGCATCCATGCTAGTGAGAGTGTTGCCCATCCTATCGTTGGTACAGAGGCAAAGAACAAGGTTCTGACTTGGCGACTTGCCCGCAGGTTGGCGGGCTCAAACAGGATGTATCTGGTCGTGCTCCAACAAAAGGTGCATTTAACCTTGCTCAATGCATCCCACTGAGCACAATGGCGGGGAGCGAGCGTCGAGGTCAAAAACTTGCTTACCAATGTGCGCGTATGGAAGGATAGGAGCGAGGAGAAGGTAGATGAGGGGGACGAGTACACTTACCTTCGCCAGGGCATGTCCGTGATCGCGAAGGGGCACAAATCTGTTGAGGGGCTTTCATTGCGGGAGGCGGGCTGCAGGACCGCAGACTCATCCAGTGAACAGTAAGCGGTGCATCGCGTCGGATAGAGAAAGCAAAAAGGGGGAAGGCGAAAATAACAAGGAGGCGGAGGCTGGGGCTACCGGTATGGAGGCCTGCAGCGGTCACTGGGCACTGTTGCCACGACTGTGCGGCTGCCAGTACGCGGGTACTACCTGCGGTTGCCATGCAGACAGATTGACCAGCGGATAACTGGGCTACCATGTTGACCGATCCAAGTGTTAAGGAGAGGAGCTGTTGTCGGAGGGGTTCGCAGTTTAATGTTCTTATTACTAATATGGCGTACTGCGGCGGACTGCTGGACGCAAGCTGTTTCTGTTGGCTGCGCGCGGGCA